TGCGTACAGCTTTTACACGCTCTCTCAATTTTCGCATTCCAAAAGTTTTGGATTAAACAAACATAAAAGTACAACTATTTTAATCTCCGCTTTGCCAAAGGCTTGGTTAGCAAATTTTTTCTCACTCCAGGCATAGGGACTCCTCAATCATCCCACGAGCAGCCAATGGATCTGCAATATTTTGCTATGAATATTCAGATTGTTGGCTGCAAATGATTATATTTTTCAAGTTTACTGATGCAAAATGTTTATATTTGAATGACATTCGTTGTTATACGAATGTCAGAGGAATTATTGTTTGTAATTTCCAGTGCAAAAAGTTTATACAATTCCACAAATTATCAGCTTTCGAAATTTTATATTCATATACGAGTATATTTTGTGTTTTTTTGTTGTTTTAATTTTGAATACATTTAGATTTCCAGCTGTCATAGTAACAAGCAAAATCCCTTTGACAGAGTATCCCCGGCATCGACTAGCCCGCATTTCTAATTTTCCTGTTTTTGGTTACCGATTTTACTTTTGTTTTTTTTTTTTCATTTCAAGGATACAAAATGAATTGCAATTTATTTTTTTCACGCCCGCGTTTTCAAAAAAGCTGGAGTTTAAATGTTTGTACATTTCCATGCCTGCTTTTATTTGAATGGTTTTAGATAGATAGCCATACAAATGGGAGAAACATGGAAAGGAGGTAGAGTTCTTGTTCATCTGGTGAATATTGCGGCTTGAATAATTGAACAAAAAGTACAGGGCATTGAATATTAATGAGCAATTAGAGAAGAGCCCTCGACAAATACTAATAGCTATGACCAGGCTAATTGCAATTTGAATTTCCAACGCTGCGTATGGGTAATATTTATGGTACCCTCACAGCAGATTCATAAACCATCCAGAGAACAGAGAAGCAGAGAGAGTGAGAGAGTTAGCCAAAGTGCCGACACAGACTCGAGCGATATAAATTATTTGCAGTAGACTGATTGGCAAAAGCAATTGCAAGCCAGCACCAGCGACTGCAATGCCAGTACGAGGAGTATTGTAAATAAAAAAAAGAGAGGGAACCGAACAGAGCATGGAAATGGAAACAAAACAGTCAGGCAATCGAGCTGATGCTGTATACATAACAGCTGCAACCGCAAGCGGGGAGTTCGGTGCCAGTGGCACTGTGTGGAACTGTGGCATGAGACACGGGGCATTTAGAGGCAGTATGAAGGCTGGCAGGCTAGCAGACTGGCGGACAGACTTTCAGGCGGTAGTCAGGCCAATGAAAGGCCGTTCAGGACGTGGAAACAAGGCGCAAACACTCGACTGCAAAGATAGAGAAAAATGGCGCATGAAATGAAGCGGAAGTGGTGCAAAAAGGAACCGACAACAGCCCATACAGAACCGGAGCACAGACAGAGTGCGGGTGCGAGAATGGCCGATTGTCTCCAGTGGGTTGTGGTATGTCGGCAACCAGCCACTTATACTTACAGAGCTGGACTAATATGTACATTAGTATCTTCAGTATGCATGTGAACAGCTGATAAATGTCTGGTCATGTCTGAATCTATATGGATCCGTGTGTGTGAGAGCGTGTGTACTGGTATGTTACTGTGTGTGCGGTAAATCAAATCGAGCGTCGCATGAAAAATGTATGCCATTTATTTTACTTTATTTAATTCCATTTCATTCACTTTGCCCTTACTTCTATCCTCCCCTTTGCGAACAGCAAACAGCTTGCATTGGCAGGGGCAAACAATGTGACATCGCTTTGCTTTGCATTCAGAAAACTGCACTTTTATAGGCCACAAAAACACACTAACACACAAACACCCAAACAGGCACACCCGTATGGCGTACATAACAATTGTGTTCTGTGGCCTTAGAGGGGGGAGATTGACGAGTTCTTTGGCAAAGCGGTGTGGATATTTGAGCTTAAAAAATGTGTCAAAAAATGCATAATTTTATTCTATTGTCATGGAATACGAACGAGTAAGGACAAGTATTGAATGTGTTCCTCTATTAAGTTATTGAAGATCGATCTTCTGCTTCCCACTACCATCACATCGACAACGCGTCGTTCAGCCCACGAGTTTTACCTATTCGCTTGATTTATGACTTTGCAGAGGGGCAAACAAGAACGAAAAGTAAAGAGTGCGTCTGGTAACTATTTATTCCCAGGCAAAAGGCGGCAAGGCAAGGCAGCCACAACTATTGCATAGATAGGCAATTTTCGTAATTGCTGCGATGCGGATATGAATAGGACAAGGACAGGGAAGTAAAGGGATGGGCCCACAGCCTGGGACAGAAGTAGAGTGCGGTGAACCAAAGTTGATTTATAGCCCGGTGTGTGTCCTGGTCGGTGGCTTCAAAGGACACACTGCATAAATATGCGATAAGCCCCCTCCCCGACTATAAAAACGAGTGACATGCTCACACACACGCATACAGTGAAAGTGATAGAAAGAGAGACACTCAAACACACACACACACACAGATAAACACACAGATAAACACACAGATACAGTTGGCATACAGCTGCATAATGCATGCGGCAGGCGCGGCGCTGGACAACTTACGAACCGCAACAAGTGCACTCAGCCCAGATGGAAGAAAAAGGGGGAGGTGGTGCAGAGAAGCTTTCACGATAGTAGGCAGGTGCACCTGTGTGTGTTTACGTCTGTGTATGTGCATTTAAGCGACATGTGTTGTCTTCACACTCAAATGCACTTCAAACGAGCCACGCTCACATACTGACTCTTACCCATACATACATACATACATACATCCATCCATCTATCCAACTATTCGTGCTCACCCCCGTGCCGTTACCAGAGTTCCCTTGAACACTCATGGCTGGCATAAACTTCCGCATTAAATCGACTTTGAACTTGAAAATGTTAGTTACATGGTCACTCACAGACACAGAGACAGTCACAGACACAGACAAACACAAAAGCAAAAGCAAACAAGCATACACATGCATATGCATATATGCCCATACACGATAGTGGCATTTGAAGGTTATTGTGCGGTGGGTGCCGGTGGTTTCCACCCAACATGGTCTGAACTATACGAAACGTTGCCATTTCGAAAAAAAAAATCCCCTGCTTGAGGTATAGTGAGTCTTTTGTGCACTTTTCCAAATTCCATTTTGGTACGCTTGGAAACCATAATTCCTCATTACACTAAAAGATTGGAGCCGAAAGCGACAAGGACTGGCATTCATCTATCTATCGTGCACCCACTCGTACATATAACTGACAAAAGCTTATCCAAGTGCCTGCTAATCAAGTGGTGGAACTGTGGAACAGTAATGGAGGGGCAAGCCGCACAAAATGTAAGGCCCTGCAAGTCGTCTTTGTGGCATTGTCTATCAGACTAGACTCAGCCGCAGAGTAGGGCGCATGTGAGGGAATCATTTTAATGAGCTGTGCATTCAGTCGCTCTACAGGCATTTCGGTTTCTCTCGTGTGCTGTTCTGTTCTGTTCTGCTAAGTATTCCCATGGCTCTCAGAAAAGCTCACTTAGAATTTTATCTGCGTAATTAGCAGTGCAGGCATTAGGGTGCTGCTGCGTGTAAACAAATTCAATTGCAGATGCACACAAGCAAGTCGCAGATGCGAGACTCTTTTATAGGAAAGTGCGAAAAGGAAAGATGCAAATAGTTCATTTTCTCATTAGACAAGTTCGAGATATACACTCCGAGGTAGATTCACTCCTATCTATATCTATATTTATCCCTTATCTCGGCTATCATTTGATCGTGGTCCAAATCTTGAACTTTCAATATCTGAAATGCATTATTCCCCATATCATGTTCCCCACCCACTATCCACATATGAGGCATGAGCATGTAGATCCTTTCGGTAGACACTCTAGGGGGGGCTCGTCCCTTCAAGCCTTATCCTAGGCTATGACATATCTATCATCGGCTTGGCCATATCCCCTGTTTTGGACTAGAGTGTGCTCGGAGACTATAAACTCAGCTGGCATTAAATATGCAACATTCTCGCTCGGGGTTTTATGGCGCCGCAATGTATACTATGCACACACGCACATGTATGCGTACGCGCACTAAGGTATGCGTGTGTGTGTGTGTGTGTGTGTGTACATACATGTAGTCCCATACGATGACATTTTACCAAGAGCTTGACAGTTCCCTCGCCTCGCTCTTGGGGCATTTTCTTTCGTTTGCTTTCATTTTTATGCGTTTTAAATTTATTTTGCTGAAAGGCAGAGCGAGTATGAGACGAAAGAAGCCGCTGGCAATGGCGCCTGTCGCACGCACGCAAACCTTCCGCCCCATACATGCGGTACTGTGTGTGTGGCAGGGCAGGCAGACAGGACATGGCAGGTCTGGCAGATGGAGAAAAGAGAGAAATGAAAACAACGCTTTGCTTGCCTGCCAGTCTCCATTTTTATTTATCGTGCCAAGTGATTCTGTGTAATTGCAGAAATTGCGTTAAATTATTTAACAAGCGGAGGGGGGTGCCGGATGGAGATGGGTGGATGGGGTCGTAAACAGAAGGGGATACAACATTTCAAATTCATTTACACTTTACGCACAATGCAAAGAGGAAATTGAATTCAATAAATTTTGTAGCCAAAAATGCCACAGACCTACAGGAAATTATTTTCCACCAAACACGAGAATAAACAAATACGAGTCGAATGAAAATTGAATTTTCGTTTTACAAATATTAGTTATTGGTCGGTGGGAGAATTTATTGTCTAATTTAATTTTTATTGCTGTTCCAGGTTCGCCCAGAATGTGGCTGAGCGAGGTGACGCACCGCGACGGAACCACCAGTCGACCGACCAACGGCAATTGCTTATGGGGTAGCCGGATGTGAAATTTACTTCAAGGATATGAAAATAGCACATAAAATGCGACATAAACACACACGAAACCAAACGGATGAGCTTAAATAAACCATACAACAACCGAAAAAAAGAGAGTACAAAAACAACAGCAACACAAAAGCAACGCTGCCGGAACAACAGCAACAATACGAGCAGCAATACAACAGCAGCAGCAAATCAGTCAGAGGAAGTCGGAACAGAGAGAAAGAAAAGTGAAAGCCAAAAGCCAAAATTGTAAATGCTCCGTGTAAACACTTGAAAGCTCGTTAGGATAATACATCCTGTGTCTGCCTGCACACACCCACATACAAACACACACTGAAAGAGGGAGGGGGCATCTTCTTGTGTCAACCATGCGCCGCCAACAGTGTCTGAGTAGCCACCATCAGGACAAGCAGACTCAGCAGCAGCACCACCACCACCAGTACACCCACACTCACACACACACAGATACAGATACAGACATTCACAGAGACACACAGCAGGTACAGCAGGACGAGTGCCCCTTTCAGGCCATTGCCATTGCATAGTCGCGCTTCCGTTTCCGTCTGCTCACTCGCTTGCCTCATTTCCGCTGCGGCTGCAATTAAGCGAACAACCCCGAAAAGTATCAACAAAATGGCGCACGAGACCAACTTTAATGGTGGGTTATCATGTGATTCTTCTCCTGCTTCAACATCCTTTAAATCCATCTCACTTTCTCTCCCTATGTCTGTCCAAATTTTAGATGCACTTGACTTCATTTACATCGCCAACACCATGAATGATAATGCCTATCTCATAGCCGAACCCCAGCCGGATTTACCCGATGACGACCACGACAAGGACGATGATGAAAAAGAGCTGGAGGCGGAGGATACAAACAACAATAAGCAGAAAAAACATTACTATGGCTCTGTCCCCGAGAAGAGAAAACAATTCTCGAGCTCCCTAGCCCTCAGCCCGACGACCACCGACCATACCACCGCCCCTACCTCACCCCTGACCACAGCCGCCCTGGCCGCAGCGGCTGCCAGTGCCTCTGTGGCCGCCGCAGCAGCCAGGATCACAGCCAAGGCTGCTCACCGAGCCCTGACTACCGCAGGAGGATCGGTCAATGGCAAGGAGGTGGCAATGGCGACGGCTACAGCGACAGCGACGACGCTCCAGCTTATCGATCTGGACAACAATTACACGAATGTGGCCGTGGGCCTGGGTGCAATGCTGCTCAATGATACACTGCTCCTGGAGGGCAGCAACAACAACTCAATGCTGGGCATCTTCGGTGAAATGGTGAATCAGAGCGCGCAACTGGATATGGCCAATGGCAGTGCGAGTATCAATGTGACGACCAGCGAAGTGGCAGAAGATGATTTCACGCATCTGCTGCGGATGGCAGTGACATCGGTGCTGCTTGGGCTGATGATACTGGTCACCATCATTGGTGAGTACCGACTGGAGAGAGCAGCAGAAGAGTGGGGGCTCTTAGTAAGCCAATGCCCAAACATAGACATAATTATTTCAGTCTCAGTCGTAGTCCCTGTGCCTGTCCCATGACCACCCCAAATAAATTCCTCGAATGCCAGTCTCAGGCACGCGCCGGGGCCTGCGACTGGGCCCCCTTCAAATCCGTGGGGACTAAGGCAAACAATTCAATAAGGAGGCAGCCGACTTGATTGCGGGGAGGCAGAAACAGATGGACAGGGGCGTTGGGAGCCAGATACCAGGCGCCGGGAGAAGAGGAGCCTTGGCTTCAGTTGTAGATAATAAAATACGCGTAACTGATATTTATGATACTGGCAGAGCATTTTATATTATTTATTATTGCTGTTATAATGGCTCAGAGCAGCAGCAGCAGCAGAGGCATCAGCTCAGTCTCAGTTATTAATAAGGCGACTCAATGAGGGGGAGAACGATATGATAGCCAGAGAATGGAGCAAAGAATTTAACTGGGTTGGCGGATGGCGGATGCTTTTGTTGCCGGCTACATTCATTACACGCATTTAGCCATAAATCCGAAGGCAAACAAAACAGGAGCAGTCGCAGGACAGGCATCCATCTAGGCAAGGACACGCCGCATTAAAATTGACAGTCAATCAATCAATCAATCACAGTTCTCTGCCGCACCCCGCCACCCCCTCCACGCACACAAACATTTCCATGAGCTAAACTTTATGTTCACATTGTAAAATCGAAAGAAATGTATACAAAAAATCAAGCAGATACAAATGCAAACGGCGGAAGAAAGTGGAGGCAACAGAATAAGCTTTCAGCTGAAATTGATTTCATTAATTTAAGTAGATTTCATGTCGTTTCATTAAAAACGGCAACACAGGAGTCAAGAGGAAAATAAAAGTAACGAGCGCTGGAAAGTGTGCTACGATTTCGTGCTCCCGGAAGCAATTTACTTGATTCGCATTCTCTCTCGCATTTGTTTCTCAACAGCGACTTTCTCCTAATTTGTGTTTATTTAGTTCGGTTTTTTTTATTTCTTTCTCGCCCTTTTGTTTTTTTTTTTGGCTCATAGTTTTCTCTTTTTTCCCATTTTCCTTTGTTGCTTGCCTCACTTTTGAACTTTTGCTTTCAGCTTCTGTCGCCGTCTGAAAGCATTTAGCATTTAAAAAAAAAAAATGGGGGGTGGTTTTGGGGGGGTTTTAATTGCAATCAATTAAGTTTTAATGCTGTTTTTAGCACAAAATTGCTTTTTTTCTGCTTTAGATTTGTGGTCAGGGGGGGGGGGGGGGGGGGGGTAATGTATGTTTTTGCCTCACCTGCACTAGCAGCAGAAAAACCAGCGGAAATAAGTAAAAAAAAAAAAGAAAAATCTAGGAACAAGCTGCTTCAGCCTGTCTGTGCCGTGCTGGGGGAAGACTTGCCCGAAGACTTTCAATGGGAATTTAATACAACAAATTATGAGTCATGAGCTGTCATTTTGAGTTGAGGCAACCCTCGCCTGCACTGGACTATAAAAATGCAAACCCACCTGGCAGGCATGAGGCTTGTCTACTTGCCTTCACTTTGACACTCAAGTATCTAATTGCATGTGTCTTGGCCATGTCTGTCCGTGTCCGTGTCCGCATCCGCGTACGTATATACACATACGAGTATGTCTCCAGGCGGCATCTGTCCGTGGCGTGTGTGTGTCTGTGGCACTCAGCCGGCGACTGTCAGAGAATTCAATGCCACAAATTGCATGTCTCGCACCTCCACAGTGGTGCTCTGGAGGCAGCTTACACTGCTTTCTTTTACACCTTCAAGTGGGCCACAAGTAGTCGTGACAGCCAGTGGGGAAACAGCAAAAAAAAAAAAATAAGCTCAACCCAACTTGCAGACATCAAAGGTTGTCTTGTCTTGGAGACCCAGTCTCAGTCACAGTCTCAGTCCCAGCCTCTCGCTGGCTCACATGCCCATCCTCTCAAGTGCGTCTGGTCGGTGATGGGGGTCGGGGGCTTTTGGCAAAGTTTACGACAGCGCGATTAGCTCATGTCGTTTATTTTGGCTTTTGTGAACTTTGTCTTTGTCTGCCAGGCAGCTCGAGTGCAACCAGGGAAATGGGGAGGCAGCGGGCAGAGATGAGCGGACTACGAGTGCATTGGAATTGTAACATTGCATTGCTGGGAGACAAGTTTAATAAGATTCTCATTTCATTTGGGCCACGGTCTCGGTGTCTCGTTCACAGAAGTTTGCCAATTTTCGAAAAACTTTATCTGTTCCGTTGCGGTTTTCGGTTTTAAGGGTTTCGTTTCGGTTCAGCCGAGTTTCAGTTTCATTCGGGGTCCATCGAGTCATCGAGTTCGACTTGGGATGTAATTGAATTGAAAACTTTCGGTCTCAAGTCAATTTTCGCAATTAGGCCGCTGAAATCCTCACACATTCATTCATTCATTCACTGGCAAAGTTGGATTCTCCATTTGATTGAGTTTCGCTCGCTGATTTTTCTTTTGTACCATTTCAGGCAATGTGTTTGTTATAGCGGCCATCATACTGGAGCGAAATCTGCAGAACGTGGCCAACTATCTGGTGGCCTCGCTGGCCGTTGCCGATCTATTTGTTGCCTGCCTGGTGATGCCCCTGGGAGCTGTATACGAGGTGAGTACGCGGTGCTGCACCAAGCGTGAGCAGTGGGCGATGATTTATTAGCGCATTCAAAAATTAGTTGGCCCTCATTAGGAGCTCAATGATCAGAGCAAATATGCTCAGTAGCACTCCGACCAGATAGAGACGAAAGCTATTCCTAAAAAATGCCATGGGCAATGGCTGAATTTGGTTCGTGTCCAGAGGCAGCTTCTTGATGTCCTTGATTTTGCGAAAGTTGTCGAAACCCATTTGTCTCCATTTGCGCAGAAGTCCCGATTCAAAGATCCGATTGTAGAATTTGCCAAAGACAATCCTCAGGGGTGACTCCGTGGAGATTTGCAGACGCATGTGTCGCGCCTTGGTGCAGAGCTCGTTCTCGGTAATGCGGAACTTGGGCACTTTCATATGCTGCTGGTAGAGACTCAGGGATCGCCAGTTGGGAGTCCGCATCACGTAGGCATAGCTGTAGTTTATATTGATAAAGTGCTGGAAAGCTGTCTCAGCGTCCACGAGCAGCAAGCGGTCAGCTAGACAGCTTGGCAGACGATTCTCGTGGAAGATCTGCGGCACGGTTGGATCGTCGGTTATAATTCGGAGGCCACTGGCTCGCATGGTGGCTGCATTCGTGATGGCTGGCTCAAAAATACCAGAGGTGAAACTTGTGGCCATGAAGCTGCAGCTAACACTGAGAAAGATGGAAATTCCGAGCAATGAATACACCTCAATGATTTTTACCGGCAAACGGAGCCTTGCGAACTCCCTGCCGGGCATAGGAATTCCCAATGCCAGCCTCAGGCCGCTCAAAAGCGATCCCAGCAGCGACAGTCGGGGATTCGCCAGGTAATTGATGGCGGTGTAGCACATAAGCGACAAGATGCTGAAAAAATGGACGGATGGATGAAACACCATATAAAAGTATTCCTCCAAGGGAACTGGAACTCGATTCGGCACCACCAGACAGATCCTCGAATCGGTGAACACCGGACTGGTTTCCGACAGGCTGGCATCGTCCACTAGATTGGCCACTACATCCACAAAACGGCCGCTGGAGTACTCCTTAATCTTGTAATCGGAGTTCTGCTGCCCCTCGATGGGTAGGATGTCCATGCTGGCATTCAAGTAGATCATGAGCTCCTGCATGACAATTCCAATGATGCCACCAATTTTGATGTGTCCCCCTCCAGCCACATTGTTTTCTCCCGTTGAGTTGTACTGGAAGAGACAATGGGATGAACACCCAGCCAGCGGTAATTGTTGTAGCTGCTCTCCGAACTTACCCAAAACACAACTGGCGGATCGTTGATTACCTGCACGAGAAACCTGTAATTTTTCGGCCGGAGAATATTCAGAAAGGTGCTGCTGTGGTCTATCAGCTGATGGATGATCATGATTTTGGAGAGGTAATAGTATGTCCATGCCTCGTACTTCTTCCCTCTCCTGAATATCAGAATGGAACGGAAAAAGCGCTGGCGCTGACACATGGTGAACAAGATTCGCATCTCCCCGACTTTCAGATACTGTAACTGCTCCTCAGCCGTGGCTGGCCGATGCAAAAAGAGAACAGTGGAATCACTAGCACTGAGCAGAGTGTCATTCATGGCAGAAAGCGTGGGATCGTCGAGGCCGGTGAACAAAGTGATAACTATATTAGTAGCCTTAAGGATGCTCCGGTTGAGGGGGCCAAAGCTCGATCCCACAACGTACAGGGGAGTGTTAAACTTCTCCATTAGACGCTGCTGCAGTGAGGGCCTCAGATCCATGTGTCCCGTGAAGGTAATAAAGTTGCAAATGTCAAAATAACGCACATATCCATTTATTACTTCGAATAGGATTCCGATATCCTCGTCTGCACTCTGCTTGGATATTTCTAAGTGCTGCTGCCACCTCTGTTGGCCGCTGGCCAAGAGGAGGCCACCACTCCAGAGGCACAAACTAAGCCAGAAGATCCTCATGGTTGCTTTTTTGACTGCGAACCTTTGGCAGACAGTTCACCCTTTATAAAGCTTTCCAAGTCCGAATCCAAGCCCAATCCCTGTGTTTGCTTTGTTATTAGAAGCTATTATATTTTACATTCTGTGGTGTGGCACTCCGGCCCTCAAGCGTCAGTGTGGGCGGGTGGAAGCATCAAATTTAATAAGCCATCAACTTTTATTGTCTATTTGACTAACCAACTTTATGGCCTCTTATCTTCTAACTCCTGCTACTCCTGCCACTCGCAACCGCAATCCGTTTCGTGCATACAGATCAGCCAGGGCTGGATACTCGGACCGGAGCTATGCGATATCTGGACCTCCTGCGATGTCCTCTGCTGCACTGCCTCCATTCTGCACTTGGTGGCCATTGCCGTGGATCGGTAAGTAATTACTTAGAATCTCCAGTTTGAGAGCTTACATACCCAACCCACATTTGATAAATTGCCTCGAAAGTCTACTTGTAAGTGGCGTGTAAGACAAGCCTTAGGCTCTGCCGCCCCCTCTCATATCTCTCTCCCTCTCTCTCTCTCTCTCTCTGATGTACATATGTATGTATGTGTGTATGTATTTATGTTAAGCGAATCAATCAATCAAGTTTTTAACATGTCAAATCTCTTTACAAATCCACTTGGCAACAAGAACGTGATGCACGGAAAAAGAAACCCTAAGCCGAACCTAAAACAGGAGAAAATAACTTGTAAACATTTCAGGCTGGACAAAAGCCAACACGAATGGGGAATACCCTACAAACACTCACCAAAATGAAATGACAGAGAGAAATGAATTTCAAAGTTATTTTGGTTATTTTTGGAGCCTCAAAGGAAGTTTATTTACCAAAATGGAAACTTAGTTTGTGGTTTTTCTTTGGCAAGCTCACCAATCAATCGATACACACACTCACACACACATATATATACAACATACACGTCTACCATTTCCTTTCGCTCCATCCACACTCCGCTCTGATGGCTATATCAATTTAAAATATATATCTACACATGTATGTATGTAGTCTGTCGTGGCATATGCCATAGAAATATATCCATTCATACATACATATATGCGAACATGGCTGGATGCATGCCATCAATCAATTTGAGGCAAACATTTCAATCAATCGATTAAAAAACAGTACGCAAAATGGCAAACAACCAATGGCAACAGCGGGGTAACAGCATTTATTGCGGCTTTGTTGTGGAATAGGGAAAAACGAATTGCAACTCCCTGTATTCCCCTGGAAAAAGGGTGAGAGTACCGCGAGCGAGGCGACTTGCTGTCGATTCGAATGTCAATTTTATTGCCAAACATCCAATGTCAGCTAATTTTCGTGCATTTGCCACCAATGACAATGGCAGGGGCTCAAAGTGTGAGGGGGGAGTGTGGAAATATTGCAGTCCCTGGCTGGCAGTTTTACGGCCACTTAGCTGCAAGATTGCTGCAATTTTCCAATCGTACCGCACAGCGTATACGTAATGTCGTTTGAATGAGCCCATTGCACTGATAGAGAGAGAGAGAGAGAGACGGACGAACCGACCGACCGTCCGAGCGACCCATGACACTTTTCCACTGTGTTTTTAATGTACACTCAAATGCAGGGCAAGGCAGAGAGGCGCGGCCCAGTACGTGGGCGCATTGTAATTTCCAAAATGTTTGCTGCACTTGAGCGGCTAATTTCATTTTATCGAGGTCCGTATCGGTTGGACAGCTCCGTAACCAGAGCCGTTCCGTTCCGTTCTGCACCGCTTTGCGCTCTTTGCAATTCCCCCATGAGCTGAAATTATATGGCCGCATTAATTGGCTAAGCTGCTGGTCAATGCGGGCCAATTATTTCGCGGTTTCAATTAGAGCACAACCGGAGCGACGGGCGTGGCCATAAATAATGCAAATCGCTTTCTTTGCCAAAGTGGCGGCACCAGGCGGCGCTGAGGTGAGCCATGGTGTACACGCAATATGATGGCTGGAATTTCGGATATGGAGCTCATTAAAATTCAGGCCCAATTGTTTGTTATTGGTTCTTACGGCCAATGCATGCATTCAGCTAGTGCCAAATTAAATGTTTTTGCGGTCGGATGTTTAGGAGTGAATTTAATTTCAAACTCATTCGGTGTGATTTTATTTTAAGCCTTACGCTGTGGCATTCATTTGATGGATCCGCCACACATTTGCGATATTTGCTCTATTGAAATGTGTGTTTATTTGCTTAGCTCTCAAAAAGATTATTTTTCTTTGGAAATTCCTTTGGCTGTTATTGGCATGCGGTCAGGTACTCGTATGGATGGATGGATGGATGTATGTTTGCATGAATGGATGGCCATTGCTGATGTCTTTGTGATGCGGCTGTCAATTGGCAAATTGAAATGCTGGCTCCGCAAATTGCCTGTCAATAAACAAAGCCAAGTGATGCCTAGATTTCGCATGCATATCAATCAGCTGAAGCCCCGGCTTTGGCTTTCACAGTAACGGCCATGGGCACGGGCACGGGCACTGTTATCGGCATCGGCGTCTCACAAATGGCATTTGCCTGTCAGCTGGACACCGAAAAGGAGACTCGAGTCTTAGTTCACATTATGATTGTGCGAAGGTAGGTATGGCAGGAAGCACTTCCATCTCCTAGGAAAAGTATGCAAATGACGAGGCATGACAGCAGCGATGATTTGCCAGAGTGCCACAGCACATCACGATGAGAGCTCGCAGACCCAGACAGCCGCAGAGAGCTGGGGGAAACAATTACCCGAAAAAGACTTACGGGCACATTTTATTTGTTAGTTGTCACTTGATATTTAAAATGGAAAGTCTTTGTTTTATCACCAAATTAAATGAAAATTAATGTCATTTTAAGCAACAAGGCAGAGCGATAGAGCGTCCAAAACGAAAACGAAGACGGAGACAGAGCTTGTGCATTAATAAATTAAGTTTGTCAAACGGTCCTTGCTTTGGTATGCCCTCCTGTCCATGTCCTCTTCCTCTGCTCAGAACCCCTACTGAATGATAAATAGTTCCTGAATTTCGACTACAATAATATTTGCAAGTATTTGTCGTTAGGGCTGCCGAATCGTTGACAATGTGCCTGGGGGGAGTAGAAGCGGAACGAAAGTCGGGGTGGAGCATGGCTAACATTTTCCGAGTTCATTTTCCATGTCAGTAATTTTTAAGCAATTAAGACAAAGTGCCAACAATATTTACAGAAACGAGAGCCTGGACCGAATGAAAACGAGCAGAGAATAAACTGAGAGAGTAGCAGCAGTGGAAATTGTTTTCCCTTTCTCTCTTTATGTATTAGTACAAATATGCCAGTTGAGTGTTGGACCAAAGAGCCAGCGACAACAAATGGCGCACAGACATTAATCTTTATGCCACTGACCCAATGCTCCGCTTCTGCTGACTCTGTCGAAGGCCGCTCGAATATATGCACATACATAAAACGCTCTTCTCCCATGCAATCGTAGAGATGTGCATAAATTTCATGCTCTGCATGTTGCTGACGTCATTATTAGTGGCAGCACACACACACACACACACACACGCACAGACAGACAGATTCTGTCTCTGCAGCCACCCAAAATGATAAATGCCCCCACGGCTTTGTATTGCACCATGCCCGAAAAGCATTTAAATGCCAAGTTTTTTCCCCGCCTCTCCCGCGGGCTCGGTTCTGTTAGTGTTAGCCCCTGGCATAGCAGGTTTATGGTCGGAGCCGTGTTTCCCTGATTGCCGGACTCCTAACCGCATGCTGGCCAACGGTTTGTCGGCCTCTGCCAGCTGCCTCGAATGTTTCTGTTGTCAGTGAGGTTGCCGCTGTTCATGCTGTGTGTATTCACCACTACACAAGGCAGCTCTGTCCCAGTGACAATGTCCTGCTTCTGGTGTCCTGTTCACGTTTTTTTCAGTTTTTGTTCACACATTTATGGCATTTTCAATTAAATTTCAATTAAGTTAACCTAGTTTTTTGTAAATATTTTACCATTTAGCACTTAAAACGTAATTACATGTTCATATTCGTTGGCCATCATCGATGTAGTCTGTGGATTCCCGGTTGCTTCAGTGTTTGTAATGCTGGTGCTGGATGTTATTGGTGTTGGTTTTCCCCCTAACCGCAACAGCACTGCAACATCACCAAGCAACAATATGAACAACAACAGCAACAACAACTACGAACGAGTATGCACTGACCCGGCGACCACAGTGTCCCTTCCATGTGCTCTGCCATGTGTAATTGTAATTGCTCTTGTCAGATTTTTTTTTTCAGCTTATGCTGGTGGTTTGAAAGCCAAACAGTGAGACCAAAAAGTATGACCATTGAAGTGTGCGAAAAATATGCGAACGATTTATTGAAATAAAAGGTGAATACTTAATTTCTTGGGCAGGAAATAAGTGAAGCCAGAGAAGCAAGTACAAATTGTGTGTTGATTTAGGAATCGTTATCGTTTAGCAGAAACAAAAACGAGTGGTATAATATTATAACACTTGCTGCTCTTCAGAGGGATATAAGGAGTTAAAAGTTGAACATAATATAAAAACGTTATATTTTACATATACATATGTATGTTCGTATGTAGCTGAGCTTATATTAGGCATCATAACAATTTTGATTCACTTAACTTAAATGAAAAAACTTTTAGCCGGTACTGTTCGGGCGCTTGGTGTAAGTGCAAATGCACATTGTACTTATTTTACATAATTTTCCTGCTGTCGCGAAGCATTTTAGGCAAAGCTTGCAGCTTAACCCCTCCCCCTTGTCACACCGCAATGCCGCAACTTGTATGTGCAGCATGTGGCAGAGTGTGTATACGGTCTGCAGGGATGTGCAAAGTTTGGTAATTGCCCAAATGTGTATGGAATTTTTGGGCAACGGCTCCATGTGTATGTATAGTATGTACATACATACATAAGTACGTACGAGCATCGAAACAAGCTAAGGCTGGCAGATTAGGGATTGGCCAAACAAAGGCATAACCTTAATTAAATTGGCAGTTAAACAAACGCATTTAACAGTATAATTAGTTTTCGTGGCACGCATGCAGATGAAGAGAGAGTCTCCGAGAGAAACCGAGAAAATACGGAGCACGCTTCATTTGCTTTACACATTTGATTTCACAAACATACTCGTAATGTGTGTATCCATGGATGTGTGTGTGTGTGTGTGCATGTGTGTAGTCCTTTTCAAATGTTTAATGAGACAAAGTGGCAAACAGACGACTCGATGACGATGTTGACTACGACGACGACAGGCAACCACAAAGGCAACAGGCCACCAGATCAGAGCAGAGCAAACACACAAAAACCAACCAGGCAATAAAACCGGATATGTTACTAAGACATTTATGTTATCTGCTAATGCCTCCCCGCCCCCACCCACACGCGCCACCACGTCCCCAACACT